GTTTTGTTGAAATCAGTTGAAAAATGTAGGAAATCCGATCCCATATATAAATGAACACACGCACACACAAACAACCTGGGTTTTTATAATAAGTATAACTCGATATGAGTTGTCCCCCTTTCATTCTCACGATGTCTCTTAATCGTGTTTTCAAATTGATTTCATGCAAAAACAATTGTGTTTTTCCAATTTTTGGCACTGTCAGAACTACTGCAAGGTAATTGAAATCGGTTGAAAAATGTAAGAAATCCAATCCAATATATAAACGTACAGACACACACACACAACCTGGGTTTTATAATAAGTATGATTACATACCATAGTTTAACACTAATTGATATGTCCCAATCTTTATAAATATGTTGGACATTATGGTTAGTGGGGGTAATATGCTAAGTAGTCCACCACTAGCAGTGGTTTACCTACTTCACACTGCTAGTCGAGTATAGTATTTTGTTGATGTTATAAAGATTACCATTTCATTTCCAACCTCTGTTTTGGTTATTCCTTATTCAGTAACCTTTTCTAGGTTACTATTGTGGGGGGTGGATATATAAATCAATACCGCATAATGATTGTCAGTTTCAAGCTTTAGGACATTACATGAAACTGACAGTCACCATGCTATGTTGATTTCTATGTGCACACTGTTTATATCTACAAATGCTCTATTCTTAACATTGATCACTCTTTCCACATAGATATCATCATCTTTATTATTTACATGCTATACCTTCAGGATATGCGCAGTCATAGCTCTTCACAACTTCCTGTCTATTGTAGCTTGAAATAACATTTGATTTGTTAACATCCTTCGAGCATCTATCGAAACCAATTCATTAAGTTGCAAGTAACTAATATAAATTAACTCCTGTCAAGGCTGACTATGGTGGTAACAGCATTTTTGCTGTATTTGCCTCTGCATGTTAGGTGAGTATGGGAAAGTGTTTTTGATAAATGTTGTTTCATCCATATATTTTTCTATCATTTTTCTGCAAGGTAATGTTTTTGTTCAGATATATGCTGATGATATACTTGACAGGGAGAGGTATATTCATGCCTTCTCAAAGGGCATTAGTTTGAAGTGATCATTAACTGTCTTAGCTCAGCATGAATTTCAATTCAGTCCTATTGATTTTGTTTTACGGGCTGATAACAATTACATACACCTTCCTAGCAAAATGTGCAAAACCAGAAACACACACACACACACACACACACACTTAATTACATAGTTACAATTACATTGTTACAATGGCATACACACACACACACACACAACTACATTGTTACAATTGCATACACACACACAACTACAATAACACACAACTACACAAAGTAATACACATGCACACAACTGCACAGTTAAAATAATACACATGCACACAACTACACAGTTAAAATAATACACACACACAAACATATTCAATATACTTACAATCAAAGATACACAGCTATGCATTTACGAATACACACGTACATATATATTTACAATCATACACTCAAGTATATGTTTGCAATCACACAAAAAAACATCTTATTTACACACACACTTACATGGTTACAATCACACATGTACACCTTCATATTTACAATCTCACACAGTCTCCTTCATATATATATATCCAATTACACTGACACACAATCTATCCGTCTATCTCTCATTTTCACTTTTCTTTCTCTCCATTCAAAAGATGGAGTAAATTTAGCAAGTGAACATAAAGATGATATCCGCTGTTTCTGTGAAGAATCAAAGATGAGGCACGTGGAATGAAGAAGCCCTTGTAACCCGCCCCAAGCCACACCCTCCCAAGACAACCAGAACCAGCCCCTCCCCGCCATGTCTTGTGGCAGAAAAACTCCAAGAACAAATATATTGATCTCGGCCATAGAACTTGACTATATTTCTAAGTCAAGTAAAAAGATGCTGTAATTTTCTTTGCATTTTTGTTTTTTAATCTGAGCTTCAATGTTAAGTGTGAGGTCTAGACATAGTGAAAAACAGACTGAGAAACACAACAGAAAGACATAAGATTTATTATGAGAAATAGTAATGGTAACATTAGCCTTTCCCTATAAGGAAATGTTCAGCATTCATTGATTGAGCAGCCAATGCTACTAAAGTTACACTTTTCTTTACTCCCTGGCCATTGGGCTGGGATCAAAGTGTACTATCTGTTCTTCTTATCTGAAATGAAAATGGTAATATTAGCTGTTTCCTTATAAGGAAACATTTGGTATTTGTTGACCGAGCAGCCAGTACTACCACCAGCTGAAATTTATAAAATCTTTCGATTAAACAAATTTTTCAGAAAAATAGGTTTTTCAAATTCATTGTTATCAATCTTTTCAGTATTGATAGGGGTTTCCTTTCTCACCTTTAGTTCAAAGTGGTGTGGAATGTCAATATCTTAATTGTGGCATTATTTCCTCTTTGAGTTACATGTAATATTCATTTTAATTGTAGCTGTTATTGGAAGTCCTCAACAGATGTGGTTTCCTTTATTTGGTACAGTTCTTTGTTTGTGATTCTGTAGCACCAGTCCACGAAATTCAAAGAAGAATGGTCTTCAGTAAAACCTACAGGCTTCATATTCTCATTTTTAACCATTTATCTGAGAAAATTTTTGAATACAACTGACATGAAAATATATCTTTTTCTTTTTTAACTTTTCACCCCAAGCAAGACCATTAGCATTCAAGGGGGGTTACAGAGAGTGGGAACAAAAGTGAAGAGGCATGAAAGAGGGAAGGATGAAGAGAAAGATGGAGAATAGATCAAGGCATCTGGAGATTGACATTGCATTTGAATAGTTGGAAATCATAGCTATCAGTGAAGCAAGTAAGAGGAATGGAGTTCCACAGATAGGAAGTCCGAGACATGAAGATATTGAAGTAGAAGAGACAGCTACATTTAACCATTTTGATAGCAAAAAGGTGGGACCGAGATGTCAACTTAGTGGTACGTTTAAATTCATGCAGTTTGAGAACAAGCAAAAATAGCTCATCGGAGCAGTTAACATGAAAGTATTTCTGGAAAAGACAGTGGGAAGTGATGGCATGTCTCTGAGATAGCAACTGTAAACGAGATGCCAGATCAGAGCCAACCACATTGCATATCTGTCTCTGGATTTGATGAGGTTATTTAAGAAAATGATGAGTTAATGTTTTGGTTCTGTTGCAGTGTTAAACAAAACTACCCCAAGTGCAACCTATTCTATGTAACATCTTGTATCTTAGTGGCATTATCGCCTTGCTCGGGGTGAAATGATTACAAAAATAACAAAATTCTCATTTCCCCTGCAATACTCTATCTTTACAAGAAACAGATCAGACCCAAAATACAATATTGCTGCTATATTTGAGCTGGAGCAACCAAGTTCTATCTTGATCGAGTTCAAAAGCATCTACGTGGACTTGTGGGTGATAAATTATCTCCCCTCCCCACAACTCCTTTCCCACTGAAGAAACATTGTGAGCCTATCATAACTATTTCCAAGATATATGTTTTGGTGAGCTACATTCCTTGGTCCTATTAGTGCTGACCTTTACAACTGGGACCTTACTATGCCACATACACAAGTATGAATCACTCACATTCACTTTGTACTCCATTAGTCACTTGGAGGACTACCAACAGCAGCAACAAATAAAATGGATGTAACTCACATCATGGACTACCCCTCTTGGCAATAACTGTATATTTTGTCTTTTCATTTGCCAACTTGTCTAGGAGTTCCTGCAGAATTTTTTCTCCGTCTCCCATCAGTACGGTGAAATCTGTATATCTTTTATAGCTAATATTTTGTTTATTTTTATGATATACCTATTATATATACCAATAAGAATAAAAAGAACTGTGTGAAAAAAAAAACAATCTAACTAATGCAATGCAGAAATAGTCATTTATTTTGCTCCAACTTGTTAACTATTTTTTTTTTGCTATTGTCTTTTTGCGGCACTCATCTTTCAGTTTGAACTACCATATATACTTGAGAATAGTGTGAATTTTTATGATCAGTTTTATTGTGCAAAAAAATAGGAGGTTACAATATACACAGATAATTTTTTTTTTTTTTGAAGATGTTAAAAATCCTGTATTTTTAGTGAGTAGGTTGCACTATAAACAGATAATTTTTTCAGTGCTAAAAAATTCAGGTCTCCTACTAGACATGTTATTTGGCCCATATACAGGTTCATTCTGAAAATCATAAATTAAGACCCATTTTCTCCAGAAAGCAAACCTTTCTTCTTTTTCCCCAGCTTTTTCTTTCTTACTCTTATCTTCAAAGGAGAGGAGAAAATTTCATTTTCAATACCAGGCCCAAGATCCACTCAAGGTAGAGGCTTACCATGTATGAGAGTAAGAAAAGGCACAAAGTGAAGTTCATGAGATTATGCAGAAAAAATAAGTTAATCCTTGTCTTGAAGAGGTCAAGACTAGCAATTGGGAAAAACATCCTGATGGGAGTCTGTTCCACAAAGCAGCAGTTCTTGGGAAGAAGCTGCTCAGGTGGAACTTTCTTAGTAATGGTTATGTTTATATTTGGATTTCATTGACTGAACAGGTAGTAATGTTTTGATTGAAATTTATAAAATCTTTCTCTTAAAAAACTTTTTCAGGTAAATAGTTTTTTTTTTTTTTAAGTCCAGTAACTGTTATTGTTCTTTCCAGTATTGATGGAGGTTTCCTTCCTAAACTTTTGTTTGAAGCAGTGTGGAATGTTAACATCTTGATTATGCCATTATTTGTTATGTGACATAGAAACCTGAAGGCACAATGGAATAGTAAAAGATGCTTACCAAACATTAAATTATGCCAGACACCTGAAGATGGTTGGAGAGTATAACAGCCAAAATGTGATGATGATAACCAACATTGGAAAAACAAAAACAAGATTAAAATCAAAATGAATTTTAAGAAATATCTGTCAATTTATTATTTGATACACTGTTAACAATTCCGTGCCATTATCCATCACACCATCCACACATCCAAGCTTACAGCACCCAGTATTCCCAAGCAGTCACCCATCTAGGTACTGACAAAGCTCAACGTTACTTAACTTCGGTGATCATACAGGAACTCAGCTCCCTGATTAATAATTCAGAATCATTATCCATTACACCACCCACACATCCAAGCTTACAGCACCCAGTATTCCCAAGCAGTCACCCATCAAGGTACTGACAAAGCTCAACGTTACTTAACTTTGGTGATCATACAGGAACTCAGCTCCCTGATTAATAATTCAGAATCATTATCCATTACACCACCTACACATCCAAGCTTACAGCACCCAGTATTCCCAAGCAGTCAGCCATCAAGGTACTGACAAAGCTCAATGTTACTTAACTTCGGTGATCATACGGGAACTCAGCTCCCTGATTAATAATTCCAAGCCATTATCCATTACAAAACCCACATATCTAAGCTTACAACACCTGGTATTCTCAACCTAGGTTGACATTGCTTAACTTTGGTGATTGTACAGGAACTCAGCTCCCTGATTAATAATTCAGAGTTATTATCCATTACACCACCCACACATCCAAGCTTACAGCACCTGGTATTCCAAAGTGGTCACCCACCTAGGTACTAATCAGGCTCAACTTTGATGATTGTACAGGAATTGGTGTCTCAAATTGGTGTGGTTGTAAGCCTCAAAGAAGAAACAAGAAAATTTTGTTAGAATCAAATAGTTTACGGTTTATCTACCTTTTGCATGTTATTTAAAGCTAGGAAATAATTTTAGATTGTAAGAATGTGTTCAAGACTAACCTTTTCCAGCATTATTCTGGAATTGCCTCAAAAATTTTAAACCATTGCAAAAACAAAATTTTTAGAATCACAAATCAGGACAAGAGTGATTTATTGATTTCTTTTTTTTTTTTTATGGATTATCAACCTTTTGCCAGTTATTCAAAGCCAGAAAATATTTTTAGATCGTAATAAAATTTTTTTGGATATAATAATGACTTATGGGTACAAATCTTAGGTGGGAGGTAGATTTATACCTTTCCCAAGGTTATTTGTGAGTAAGTGAATATAAAAAAGCACCTATGGAGACAATTGTAGGTGATTAATTATGTTCTACCCTACAACTCCTTTGCCACAGACAAAACATCGCAAACCTCTCACTACTCTGTCACTATTTCCAAGGCATGTGTTCTGATGTGTTACATTCCTTGGGTCCCATCACTAAAAACTTGACTGGAATTGGTGCTCAGCCTTCTCGTGTGGTAATAACAATGAAGATGATGACAAATATCTAAAATTTGTTTAACCACAATATCACTGTCTCTGCAGGTTTATATATTGTCTTACAAGTCAGTTCCAGTAATTCTTGGTGGAATGGTTCACTGGGTGAGGGCATGATATCCCACAACTATAAGTAGATTAAAAATCCCAAGAATTTTATGCAAGGGGATCAAACTCAAAATGTATATACTTTTCCCCAATAAATCTAACAAAAATAAAATTTGAAGTGTTTTTTGTTTTCAGATGAAGAATTACTATAGACTGAATTATTGGGACTTATGTTCTTGTCTTAGTTGTTAGACCAACTATGACAGACACCTGAAGATGGTTGGAGAATATAACAGCCAAAACGTGATAATGACAACCAACATGGGGGAAAAACAAAAACAAGATTAGAATCCAAGTGAATTTTAAGAAATATCTGGCATTTTATTCTTTGATACACTGTTTGAATTTATGAAGTTCAAAAACATTCAGCACAACAACACACAAGAAAAGTCTAAATCAAGTAAGCATTGAAAGTTAACTAAGTGAACTACTTAGACAGCATATTACCCCCACTTACAATAGTGTCCAACTTATTTATGAGGGTTGGGACATAACCATTAATGTTCATAGGTACAGTATATAACATAGGTACCTCCACGAAATCGCTAAAAAAAGAGCATAGCTTGATGAAAAAAAACGCCAAACTTGCGAAAACTAAATTTTATTGTCTAAATGCTTATGTTATTATTAAGAGGAAAGACCAAAGTTTTTTTTTTAATTATTTTTAAAAAATTTTCCTTCTTTTTAGAACATTCTAAATTTTGATTAAAAAAAAAAAATTTTTTTCTATTTGTATCAGCGGAACTAGTAAATAACAGACAATTTTTAGCACGTTTTTTTTTAAATGACACACATTAATTTGAAAAATCGTGCAAAAATAAAATAATTATCGGATGTTAATGAAACTTTCAGAAACTATTCACAGATGATCGAAATTAATAAATATGTTTTTTTTATGAAAGTCATGGTAGAAATATTTTTTTTAAATATTTATTACCCCCATAACTAATTTTATGAAAACGCTAGAAATTCGATCGCATCGGTTTTAGTGATTACAATAATTAAAAAGCACAGGGCTTTGAGGAATGCAAATCATGTTTTTTTTTTTTTTTTTAATTGGATACCCCAGTACCTGAAAATCAGCTCTGAATTGTAACATACAAAACTCAATAAAACAAAGATATTATTTAATTTCAAATGCTTTTATTTGCTTTTAGTTGTTTTTATGAATATGGACAATATTTTCTGAAAGCAAAAAAATTTTTAGATCAAAATGAATTTTAATACAATTATTTGTTATTTCATTAATTATAATAGATTTTACATTTAAGTTGTTAAAATATTATAAAATTAGTTAAAAAAGCCGCATCGGCTTTCATAAGTGTCCTTATGAGATAGATCTTTTTTTAGCGCGTTGTAAATTGTATCATTTTGACTAATCAGAAGATCCCCAGTAATTAAGAAATGTAATTTTGTGCTTATAATCGAGCTGTAATTATAAAATACGGAAGACCAACCAGAATATAATTAAGTTGCGTTATTTGAGTTAAGCATTGTTCTCCACTGTTAAGGCCTTTACTTTTGCGAAACACGTGTGGAGAAGTTAATTTGATTTTTCAATTTCAACTGAGAAGGTTACCTACAAGTATCAGTATCATCTTATGAAATTTATATGATCTTATTTTTATATTAATCTCAGTTACGACATTTTTCCATAAATGAAATATCAAAATTAATAATAAAATGAATGCAAATACAAATAACAGTAAAATGTAATAAATGTACATAAAATTATAGTATTTTATGTACAATTCTGATAAAATTTCATAAGAAAGGTACCTATAAATTAATTAGATACCTTTCTTAAGAAATATGAAATTTAATGTCACTCTTAACAGTTTTATTTTAATTTCTTTATAATATATTTCCCATAAAGCATCATAAACGTAAAGGTGAAAGCTAAGTAAAAAAAAAAAAAAAAATTAGACCGCTGAAAGTTTTCCTTAAAAAATAACGGGTAAATAATTTGTTCACGTAAATGTAAATTATTTCACTTTTCTCCTTCCGTAGAACAAATTAGCCTCATGGAATTAAATCAATATATCATTCATCACATGTCAAGAGACGCGAAAGTTTATGACCTGCTTTGTTTTTTTTTCAAATTACATCTTTTTGGCACAAAAAGCTAAGTTTTTGGTTCAAAATATTTTAAATAAACATTATAATTTCTGATTTTCTTAAAATAAGTTTTGAAAAAAATGATAATTGATATTTAAAAAATTTCAAAGTCAGATTTCCAGTTTTTTTTTTTGGAAAAATGGAAAAAAATGGTCAATTTTGCTGACTCAAAAAAAACTAGATTTTTTAACGAAAATTTCGGACGTGCTAGGAACAATTAAAAAATGGAAAAAAATACCCCAAAAAATACTTTGACCTTTCCTCTTAATAATAACAAACATTTTAGACGATAAAATTTTGTTTTTGTCAAGTTTAAGGCGTCTTTTTTCATCATGCTATGCTCTTTTTTTAGCGATCTCGTGGAGGTACCTAATATAACAATAGTAAAAATCATTTGCAATGCATTTTTATAGTAAAAATCATTGACAATGCATTTTCATAGTAAAAAAAGAAAATTTGGCAATGCATTTTTATAGTAAAAATCATTTGGCAATGCATTTTTTTTAGTAAAAATCATTTGTTGAAACCATTTTTATAGTAAAAATTTATTTGAAATGCATTTTATAATAAAAATCATTTTAAATAGATTTTTTATAGTAAATATCATTTCATAGAATGCATTTTTTTTAGTAAAAATCATTTGCAATGCATTTTCAAAGTAAAAATCATGTGCAATGCATTTTCAAAGTAAAAATCATGTGCAATGCATTTTCAAAGTAAAAATCATGTGCAATGCATTTTATAGTTGTTGTAATCTAGAAAGGGTTACAGGTGCTACCACTTCAGTTCAGGGTGGACCTGAGAATAACACCAATTAAGAGGTGGCCCATTGGATAAAGATGTTGGTTTGATCCAGCGACTAGACCCAATGAGTTTTGAGTTCAAAACCAGGCTACAGCAGTGGTGAACTAAAAAAACTTTGAGAATTGAGTTAAAGGGAAAAAACTGAGATATCCAGAAGAGGCATGACATGTGGAACTAGAACAATCTACCCTGCTGGACGAAATAAAGGATTCAGTTCAAAATTCCATTCATCTAAACAGCCAAAATGTTGTGAATATGGCAATGAAGATGAGAATAACAGTCCAAATAATGTAAATAGTCATAATACCTCATCGCAGAGATATAGACAGATATTCCTGATCAGAGGCCTTGCTGCCAGATGTAGTTTATCGTCATACCCAGAACTATAAACAAAGTATTAAGAAACAGGAAAATTCCATTAGAAACAAAGAAAGAGCACTAAACTGTTATGTGATATCTGTCCTCCTGTATGGCAGCAAATGCTGGATAATCTTAACAATGAAGAGACTTGAAGCAACAGAAACAAAGAAAAAGGTGGTAAACTGTTACATAATATCACTCCTCCTGTACAACTCTGAATGCTGGACAATTATATATATAAATTATTTTTTATAAAAAAATTATAAAATCACTACAAAAATAGCCATTTTGTTTCAACACACTGTGTCTTATCAAGTGATGATGTTGAAAAGAAAATAAATGGTTTTAAAAGTTTTTAGATTAATTAACGATCCTACACTAGGGGAAAACATTGTTACAAAACATTGTTATATATATATATATATATATATATATATATATATATATATATATTTTTGAAATGGGTAAATTGTTTGTATTTTATATTTTCAATTTTGAATTATGCGAAAATTTGTTTTGATTTTTTGCCAACTGCACAGTATAGTAGGGTCAGTTGGGCAACATCTGTAAGAAAAAGAGCACAGATAAAGATGAGAATTGAAGCAACAGACATTGTTCTACAGAAAGATGCTGCGAATACTATGGAGCAAGAAGGAAGTTCTTAGGGAAATGGAAACAAAAAAGATACTTATACTATACACTTATCAGAGAGAGAGAGAAGAGAG